TTTATGTCAATCCTGGTCATCCATAAGAGCTTATCGATACATCAATAAAGATCGAAGAAAAACAGAATGCATTGTTAAGAAATGCTTGTATATTACTTTTTTATGCTATGACTAAGTAATATTTATTTCAAATCAGATTAATTTAACTTTAAATTTGCTAATTTTACTCAAATAATGTGTGACAAATATATATTTAATTTTTGGAAGATTTTTAAAACTCATAATTTTGTTTTTTTACAAATTTCTTAAAATTAAGAAAATGGCCACTTTTAAGAAAATTTATTTTAAATTGAGCAAATATTTGACATTCCAATCTATATAATTTCTATTTGAAATACACCAGAATATTTTATTTACTGGAAATAATAAATTTAATGATTTAGCTTTCAATCAAAGCTAAAATGAAATCTTCAAGACTGATTTTCATTTTTAAAAATTCATTTAAAACCTTAGGTATCAAAAATTCAGTGGATGTACTTACATTGAGTGAAATGCTAAAGCTATATATGTGTGTGTGTGTGTGTGTGTGTGTATATGTTTGTATTTGCATATGTAGTTATATATTTGTGTATGTATGGATGTAATGTATTTGCATATGTATTTATATATATTTGTGGATGTATGGATGTATGGATGTAATGTATTTGCATATGTATTTATATATGTATGGATGTAATGTATTTGCATATGTATATGCTCATATATATATATATATATATATCTCAGTATTTTTAATGGATTATCGCTGCTAACTATAATCTACATTTGTTTGATAGCGATTTAATTTAGAATAGCTTGTTGACTTAATAATAAACAGTTGTGATTCGTTATACATTAATTTTGAATGGTCTCTGAATTCATTATAGTCATTTAGATAAGACTGTACGTATGTTTTTAGTAAATATGTATGTTTCTACTTGTGTTTATATGGGTGTATACACTTAGATACTTGTATTTGCACATGCATATATGTGCATTGGTTAATTTGTGTGTTTTTATATGTAGGTTGGTTGGTTGTTTTGTTTTATGGCATATCAACCTCAGGAGGTCATTTAATGCCAACAAAATTTTTAAATAGATTCATAACAATAGTTTGGCAAAAAAAGGTGTGTATGTATATATATATATATATATATATATATATATATATATATATATTTTTTTTTTTTCAGTTACTCATATTTTTTTGAGTACAGTCCAACTTCTTTTAGGAAATTTACAATCTTGGATGGTTTTATTTTCGTAAAAAGTTTTTTTTTTTTTTTTAATTACTCACTTGGTAATATTTTGTTTGCACTTTATTGTTTTGTGGATGTTTGCTGATATAGCGGCTGCTTGTTTATCGGTATTTAGTGTGATTTCACTGTGCGGGATATTGATGTTGATGGTATTGTTTTTGAGATGAGTTTCTTGAAGGCATATGATTGCTGGGCAGTATTTTGTTATAAAAAGCAATAATTCAAAGTGATTGACTCTTGCTCCTCTGGCATTCCATTGGATGATTTTATTGTCCTTATAATTTTAATTTTGGGGGTCTATGTGTTTTTTTTTTTTTTTGAGATTTCTTTGTTTTTAACCTTGCGGGTAAAGACTCTTCAACCTCCATTTTTTTCGAATAGATTATGCCTGTTTTTAACCTCCACAGGAGCTGCTGGGTCTTTTGATTGACCCAATGTTTTCTCTGTGGATGTATTCTTCTTTGGGGAGGTCTTTGTCATCCTTTTTCCATTGTCCACCTCACATGTTGGTTGACAGATGGGAGATCTTTGGTGTTTTGGTTTAGAGGTAGTCTTCACAGGAGAACGCAGTATGTTTTCAGAATGCAGGGTGGTTCTCATGACAATTGGCACATCTCCTTTCTCTCTGGTATTCCTCTTCCGTATGGGCTGGGTTCTTTTCTGTGCATTTGCCACAGACCTGTTGTCCTCAGCATATGTCTTTGTAGTGTCCAAATCTCTGGCACTTAAAACACCGCATTGGAGCTGGTACATAGTTCCACTCTTTCAACCATGAAACCTATTTTAACTTCCCTTGGGATAGTGGATGTTTCATACATGAGTATATATGTGTTGGTCAATATACTCTCACCATTCCTCTTAATGCTAATTCTTTTGTAATTGGTGACACCCTGCCTTCGCAGTGCCATTTTTATCTCTTCTTCTGTTGCTAAGTTCAATTCTTGACTTCATATGACTCCCTTACAAGAGTTCAACCTCTTGTGCAGGTAAGCCTAACATTTATACTTATGGAACTTTTCCATTTTTAGTAAATTTTTGGCATGTTTTTTCTCAGTTACTTCTACCAATATTTTCTGTTTATAATTTTTTTTTAACTAAATTCGGATTCGACCTGCTAGTCATTATCCTTTCAATGAGAAAGTCTGATAATATACTTAGAGGTGTATCTTCCATTGATTCTATGACTATAAATTTCAAGAATTCATTATTTCTGTGCCAGAATCTAATTCTGAGGTTTCTTTTTGTTTTTAGAAAAACCATATTTAAGGTTTAGTTATTCATTGGTCCTATGCTCCCTCACCCACCACGGTCCAATTTGAATTGGGAATTAACCAAGGGGGAAACCCATTCGCCTTGGTTGAGACGAGGGATACAGTACTAGTAGACTCAAGCTGGGGGAGTAAAACTCTGAGCCCTTGTCAATTTCAGGTTTTAGTAACCAATACTATGTACCGTGTAACATATCAGGGGTCAAAATCTCACTCATTCACCCTGAGCTGCTGCCTACTAGCACCTATAAGAGGGTTGGGTATTTGCCATAAATGCAGATTGAATAATACGGGTGAGACTAAATATATAGATGCTAGGGCTTGTCACAACCAGCCGATTGATCATATCGGGCCTATCTGACCACCCATCAGACCAAGTAAGGGCCAAAGTGATGTGTTGCTAGTCATTGACCACTCTGTCACGGGATCAATGACTGCTCAACCACCAGGATTCCATCCTAGCGCCTTACAGGTCACCAACTACGGCCAACCGTTCTACAGAGGTGCAGTCGGTGTATTCTACAGCCCCAGCCAACAGGGCACTTATATGTAGGAGTTTGGATTGATATATTTATATCTATATATATATATATATATATATATATATATATATATATATATATATATATGTGTGTGTGTGTGTGTGCATTTATTTATTTATGTATATATTTATATATTTGTGTCCATGTATATATTCATGTGTACTCATACATACATTGGTATATTTGTGGATACATCTATATATTTGTGTAAATTTGTTTCCATTTCTGTATATATGCTGGTTCTTATTTTCCATGTAGTATTTTGTTTGGGGCATGCGAATTTGGTTGTTAGATTTTTTTATATGTGTATATATTGTGTCTGTTCATTTGTAAGTATGTTTAATTGTCTTTTTTCTTTGCTTTATTCATGGCTGAATATTTGTTTTTCTATTATACCCTTTTTAGCTTTCATCAATTAAACCTTCTTTTTATCTATATATCTTTGCCCATGTATGTAAAATTTTGATAGTTGGTTTGTACTCGCTTATTAATACATTTAGGCTTGAAATTTGGTGAGTCTATCTATGTCTTTATTAGAGTATGTGTGTTTGCTTGTATATGCTTTTAATTGTATATATATGTGTCTGATATTATTTTCTTTGACATGGATTTCTTTATTTCCTGTGTTGTCTGTGTGTTTATATATCTAAATATATTTACATATTTGTGTATTATGATGTCATTGTGTCTGTCTTTTCATTTGTAAAACTTCTTCCCCTGCCTACATCATCTGAATTCAGATCCATTCAAATGTATCTAAGTTGTTATGATGTTTGAATCTCCTTAGATTAGCATTTGCTCTAACTGATAATTTAGCCTTTCAATTAAAGCAATAAATAAATAAATAAAAAATATATATGTATATTTTCCTCTGTTCCTTCTTCGAATAATTTTATATTTTAAACTTAATGCAGGTTTAAATTTAAAATTTTTATTTTTAATGTTATAGTAAAATTAAAAATTAATTAGTTAGAATAATTAGACTAAAATTAACATTAAGGCATTAATAAATTGTATCTAAGATTCGTTGTCAAGTTTTTTTTTTAATTATCATATGCTATATTTTGATTGGTCATTGTAGGTTACGTAACAATGTTTCCCCTATTGAGGGGAATTTGGTTGGTTTTGAACTTTTTGAAACTCTTTATTCTGCAATCAACCCTGTCATGCCGTGTTGTGCATGGATGTGTATTGATAAAAATAATAACTAACACGTGTGTAGTTATGAATAAGGGACTGTCATGGCGTATATTTATTCATCGAAGCGCATGCGTGTGTATATATAAAAAATAGATTGACGTTCCGGGAAACCGGAACGAAGGAGTAGGCAATATCATTACATCCCCCTTTCTCCGAAACAAAGATCGTAATACTAGGTCTCTAAAACAAAACAAACATAAATAAACAGAAAGGCTAATTCAGGGTAGACTACCTGAACAGCTACAGCAGAGCAGGGGATTATTCTGCCCCATTAAGTGCTTGCTGTGGGGTTATGAGAATGTGTTCATTATAAGTTCATCTTTGATGGTGGTCGCACCATCCTACCACTACGGGTACGCTTTTGAGGGTCATTTGGCTTGTTTGGGATTGCACACACAGGTGTATCCACAAAAGTCATACATTTCTGTGAAGCTGTTTTCGAGACATCTTGCGACAGTTGTGAGTCAGGCGCCACTGCGATACTCCTTATGTGTTGCTGGTTTCTTCGCAGCACATACCCATTGACATTCTCCAGGAGATAGGAGCGGTGACCATCTGCCTGGGATACTACAGTCGCTGGGTCCCAGCTTCCGGACATAGGGTTTTGTACCCTTACCCTTTGGCCACGGTACAAGGGTGGAAGTTCCTCCTTGAGTGCATGTTGGTCAAAGTATCTCTTTTATTTTCTTGACGTTGTTGAATTGCACTATATATTTGATCCTGGTCTCGGTGATCATTTCTGATTTTGGTAATCAGTGGAGATTGAATTCGTCTACCCATGAGTAGTTGTGCAGGACTTGGTATGGCGCTTGAAATTGGAGTACAGCGCCAGTGCAGCAGCACAATTTCAGGCGTTGTTCCCACTTCTTGGCTTTTTTTTTGAGGATGTTCTTGACAGTTCTTATCTGCCGTTCTCTGAAACCATTTCCCTGTGGTCTCCGAGGTGAAGTGGTCTCATGGTGGAAACCCCATTCTTTGGCGAATTCACGGTAGAGGTGACTTGAGAAGTGTGGTCCATTGTCACTGACTACCTTTGATGGTATCCCAAACTCTGCAAAGACTTGGCGTGTGGTGTTTACTGTAACACTGCTTGGTGAGTGAGCAGGTAGGTGTTTGACTACCGGGTACTTGGAGTAATAGTTGGCTATGATCAGCCATTGACTTCCATGGAGATCAAACAGGTCTGTGCCAACTATGTCCCATGGCTTTGTTGGGATGTCATGTTGCATAAGGGGCTCTTGCATTTGGGATGGCTTATGTTGTTGGCAGATGCTGCATGACTTTGTGAACTGCTCGATGTCTCTGTTTATGTTTACCCAGTAGACAGTGTCCTTGGCAAGGAATTTTGTTTTCTCCTGTCCTAAGTGAGCGGTATGAAGCTGTTTTAGGATGTCTTGAAGTGTCTGGGGAATGACGATTTGTTGTCCTTTGAGGATAAGGCCATCATCAATTGAGAGCTGGTCTCTTAGACCCCAGAACACTCTGATGTCAGTGGGCAGCTGCTTGATTGTCTCTGGCCATCCAGTGATGATGGTCTCTCTCAGCTGGTTAAGCAAAGGATCCGCTGTTGTGCAGTTTCTCAGTTGTTCAATGCGATCACTAGAGAAACGGACAGTATCAACCCGGACATCAAGCTCGATAGGGTCCGAATTACCGGGTGATGGTAGGCGTGATAGTCCATCAGCCAAGATGTTGTCAGATCCCTTGTTGTAGGTGAGCCTGGAGTTGTATAAGCAATTGTTGCAGGCGTGCCGGGGCTGAGGTGAGCGGTTTGTCAATAATCATTGTAAGGGGTTTATGGTTGGTGATGACTTGGAAATTGTGGCCATAAAGGTATGTGTGGAATCTCTGTGTGCCAAATACAATGGACAGTAACTCACACTCAATACATGCATATCTTTGTTCTGTTTGTGTTAAGCTCTTGCTAGCATATGTGACAGGCAATAATTGCCATCTGCATCTGGTTGTAGCAGAGCTGCACCTATTCCCCGTATACTCGCATCACAGTGCATGTAAATTGGGAGTTTGGGGTCAAAATAGTGGAGCAGAGACATTTCAGATACTTCGCTCTTTAGATCTTTGAAAACTTTCTGGTGATGTGGTTCCCATTGAAAATCAGAGTCCTTGTGTAACAGGTCATGCAACACAGTAGTTTTGGAGCTGAAGTCCTTGATGAAGTGAGATAGGTATGTCATCACACCTAAAAACTGTTGTAATTCTGTTTTGTTACATGGTTCTGACATTTCCTGTAGGTCACGTACTTTTGTTGGGTCAGGTTTCAATCCGGTATGTGTATACAGGTTTCCAAAGAAGGAGATTTCCCGGCGTTTAATCTTGCATTTCTCTGAGTTGAGTGTAAGGCCCTCTTGAGTAGTGACCTCTGTAAAGCGCTTTAACTTTTCATTGTGTTCATGTTCTGTGGACCCATATATGGTGATATCGTCAGCTATACCACAGGCTCCAGTGCACTTCTCGAGTATCCTGTCCATCTCAAGTTGGTAAATATCCTGACTTACACTCAGACTAAATGGAAGTCATTCAAAACAGTACCTCCCAAATGGCGTTTGGAAAGTTGTTAGTGGCTGGCTTTCACGATCGAGCTTTATGGACCAGTATCCAGACTTAGCATCCAGTTTTGAGAAGAATTTTGCTCCTGCAAATCGATGGTTGAGCTCTTTGACAGTCGGAATTTGGTGGTATGGCCGTATGAGAGCTTTGTTTAGTGCTCGTGGGTCTAGGCAAACTCTTATTGTGTTGTCACGTTTGGTGACATATGTAAGAGAGCTTACCCAGTTTGTAGGTTCTTCAATACGGCGAATGACTCCTTGTGATTCCATCTTGTCAAGCTCAGCTTTGATTTTTTCGCGCATGGCTATAGGTGTCCTTCTTGGTGGGTCTATGTGGCATGGCACATTGGGGTTAACAGCAAGCTTTGTGAGTCCTCCGAAATTCACCAATACGGTCGAATCTGTCAGGTGCATTAGGTCAGCTACACTGTTGATGGGTTGGTGCTGGACTGGGATAGCACAGTTCATTGTCACTACTTTAAGTGCTACTGATGTTGGCAGGCCCAATATGGCTGCTCCTGGAACATCAACCACATAGAATTGGGTATCCAGCCATGGAGAGTTCTTGTATTTGCACCTAATATTTGTGGTGCCATAACAGTTTATCTTTGTGTTGTTGTAGGCTGTTAGTAGGCATTGTGTTGAGGTGAGTGATCCTGGTATTGGATTCCCAGCTTTGTCTATACTGGTGGGGTACATCTTGCGGAATATGCGGATAGGCAGTGTGTTTGCTTGTTCCCCTGTATCTACCTTCAGGTTGAAAGTATGAGTGCCTGGGTGGTTCATCAACTTGATGTTTAAATCAACAAATGCCTCATTTCGTGGGCCTTTCATATTTGATGATTTCCCACTTTTGGTTTCGATGAAGCTAAAGGTGAGGTTTTCCATCGCTATGTCTATGTCGGTCATGACTTGGTCGTTGTGTTTGGTGACGCTGTCGACTTTCCTGCCAAACTCCTGTTGTGGGTGTCTCGACTGGTTATGACCATTAGACCAGGTTTTCCCTTGTTGTCTCTTGGTCTTATGTTTCCCTGAGATGCAGACTGTAGCCCAGTGGCCTACTTTGCCACATGTGTTGCATGTGTCGTTCTTGGCACGGCAGTGTTCTTTGCCAAAACGGTGGTTGCGTCCACAATTTTTGCAAACCTGTCTGTATTTTCTGTCACTCCCTTGCTGTTGGTGTGTACCACGGTTTATTGTAGCTATCTGTGGTGATCCCTATAGCTGTTTGAGTTGGTTGACATATATTGCTGATGCTTCATGAGAACGGGCTAATTTAACAGCCTCTTCAATTTTGTAACCCTTTGGTTTATTCAGTAGTTCCTTTTGTAGTTCGGGTATGGGCGTGCTGGCAATTAGTAACTCAACGAGGTGTTCATTTACTTCGTCGGCAGTGAAGTCACATTTCTTTGCTAGCAGTCGGCATCTGTTAACGAAGATGTCCGTTGTTTCAGTTGGCTTTTGTTGGTATTTGCTGAGTTCGAGTCTACAGACACGGTGGTTGGTTGCTGGTTCGAGCTGCTCCATGAAGGCAGAGAATATTTTTTGTGGGTCCTTGTGGTCGTTGTCTGTCATCAACCAACTGTTGTATCGGCGTAGGCCTTCTTCGCCGGCTGCGAGGAGAATTAGCGGCACCTTATCTTCGTGTTCTGTTGCCTTGACGGTGAAGTAAAGCTCCATACGTTGCCAAAATAGTTTGAACGATTCGGCGATGTTTGGCGACCCCCCAGTCAAGACTAGGTACTTGTATTGACACTGTAGCCATGATATCTGCCTGTTAGTAGCGGTTATGTTGTGAGCTTGGCGTGGCGTGAGCGAGCGAGAATTTGTGTAGCGTGGACGATTAAAGAAAATAATGTACTGCAGTTTGTACTCACTGTTTTATTTTGGTGCTGTGATTTCGTAGGGTTGTTTAGTGTATTATCCAGTCTCACTGCCACCATGTCATGCCGTGTAGTGCATGGATGTGTATTGATAAAAATAATAACTCGAACACGTGTAGTTATGAATAAGGGACTGTCATGGCGTATATTTATTGATCGAAGTGCATGCGTGTTTGTATGTATAAAAAACAGATTGACGTTCCAGAAATCCGGAACGAAGGAGTAGGCAATATCATTACAAACACAATCACTTGACAAGACACCGGGTGTAGAAACAAAATAGCTATTTTTGTAGTGATGTTATAACATGTTTATGTTATAATTTTTGAGTAAGTAATATATATGATTCTATTATAAAAAAATTTTCATCTGAAGAAGTCCTTTCAAAAGAAAAAAATATGTCACATAGGATTTTTTCTATTTTGTCATTCAATTACCCACCATATATATATTATAAATTAATTGATTTAAAATGTTTTTTTTCCACTACACAGTTCTAACCATGTTTAAAAAAAAAAACATGGTTAGAACTGTGTAGTGGAAAAAACCATATTTTAAATCAATTAATTTATTATTATTAATCCTCTGTAAATTTACATTGAGCACTATTTTGTAAAAATAAAAATATCTATAAGAACACGGATTATATATCTTACTGTTCTTTCTTTTCATTTATATATATATATATATATATATATATATATATATATATATATATATATATATATATATATATATATACACACACACATATATATATATATATATATATATATTTGAACACACACACAAACTATGGATTTAACCTTAATTTAATAATTTAATATTAAATTTTATACTTTCTTTGGTTTAATCAACTCTTAAAATAGGATGCTGAAAGTATTAGTGTATGGTACCCAATGTTTTAGAACGTTGTTGGTAAAATTTTAAAATACACCTGAGATTACCATTAACCAGCAAGGTAGATTTCGCAAAAAGGACTAAAATTTTAATGGAAACTTTATACAGTAATGGGTTAATTTTGTTTTTATTATTATTGAATATGCAGTAAAACCTTTCTGGCTCAAATAGAGCTATTAAATAAATTTTGAAAAAGGTACACAACCTTCAATTCTTATATGACTTTTCAAAATCTAGAGGGTGATCTCCTGATTTTTGGCCTATAGTCCTATAGGGTAAATGTGTGTGTGTGTGTGTGTGTGTGTGTGTGCATACATACACACACTAGTCATAAATATGATTAAAATTTGTTAATATTTATGTTTGGAAATTATTAATTTAGCTCAATGAAATTCCCAAAATGTTGATAAATTGGAACATATGAAAAATAATATTGCTTATATAAAATAGATCATTAACAAAAAAAATTATAATTTAAAGTTGATTGCAATTTTTGGACACTTTATACTGTATTTGTCAGATTTATAAAGCCTATGAATGTATTAGATGTTTTCTTTTATAAAGATAGTTTCCTTTGTTTTTAAGGAATCATGGAAAGAAAGAATTTTGTATATTTCCTATGTCTTTCATGATTATATTTTAATTTGAATCTTGGGAACATTGTATCAACCCTTCTGAGTCATCTTAGTAAACACACACACACACACTATATAATTCAGATATACTAAATTTAAGCTCAGTACTAGATTGACAGCAAGGTCTCATCATTTTACAGTTGAAATGGCAGCTAGATGTAACCGTAAGTTCTATGCAAACAGTTTCTTCTCTCACCCCCACCTCACTTGTGGAACTCTCTTTTGTCTTCTTGCTTTCCAGTCAACTTAAAAAATTTAAATGCAATATCAATCATTGTCTTCTTAATTCCTGTTCTTTTATTGTTCTCTCTTCTTAATAGTATTTTTATCTCATATTCTTTCACACTCGGTAACCCCCTTGCATCTTATTGGCTTTATTTCCTTGTGAGATAATTAAAAAAAAAAAAAAAATGAATAAATAAAAATATCTCTGTAAAAGGACTATGAATAATGACAAAAGGAAAATGCCACACTTATTAAAAGAGAAAGTAACTTACTTAGACGAAAAATTCTCGAGATTGCCACTATCAACTCTTACCAAAATATAAATCTGTATTTCAGATTTTTTCAAATATCTCCTTTCCTAAAAGAAATACTCCTTTCTTAATATACATGACTATAATTTTTTTAAATTAAAAGAAAACATTTAAATTCTTAACCTTCTATTATTTCAAATATTTAATACATAAAAAGAAAAATAATATAAATAATAATTACATTTTAAAACAAAATTCAGCACCATTTACACACTTTGGTTTATTAGACTTTAAATTATATCTTTTAGTATCTTCCATAATTTACCTTGATTTTCAGTTACCCAGATATATATTTATAAGCATTCTTAAATTTAAAAATTCTAAAAACTAATGATAAAAATACTTGTTGAAAAATAAAGTCCACCAGAAGATGAAACATTTAAATTACTTGCTTTGTAGAATCGTTTTCTTATTTGAGTAAGAGCATCACATTCTATGAGAGTTTGTTTAAATATAAATGAGTGCGTAAGTTTGGTGTGACCAATACATAGTCATAATATTGTAACCCCTTCCTGTCTAGTTTTCCTAAAGGCTTGTTTTCCAATCTGTTGATTTTCAGATCAGTGTAAGGGATCTCCAATTTGTCAGGCTTTAAATCTAGAGCCAATTTAGCTGCTGAGTCTGTTCTTTCGTTACCTCTTTATTCAGATTAGCTCGGGATCCAGCATGATGTGATCTTTCTGGTATTGGACATAGAGTTCAATCTGTTTAATAGTTTGATTATTTGGGGATATTCTAGGTTTTTTTTTATTTCTTTAGTGTTGTTAATGTAGAGAGAGAATCTGAGAATATGATGGAGTTTTTGCAGTTGTTGTCGTAAATTATGTCAAGTGCCAGATCTATTGCATAGGCTTCTGCTGTAAGAATTGAGCTTTCCTCCGGAAGAGCTTTCTTTAGAGATTTCTTGTGAGAAATGGCTGTGCATGCTATTTTGTTATCATCCTCCAAACCATCAGTAAAAATGTAGAAGTGTTTAGGATGCTATTTGCAAATTTTGTAGAACTGATCTTGATAAGGGATGGGATAAAGAGCTTGCTTAGTTAGAGGTTAACTCTAAGCTCATTCATCATCCATGGCAGTGTTTTAAAAATGATTGTTTTGTAAATATTAGTTATTTTGATTTTACTTTTTTCAAGGGTGGATTTTATACAAAAACCAAAGATTTTTATTGCATTTTTCTTTTCCTTAAAGTTTTGCTTATATTTTGGATTGAAGGTACAGTTGTAGTCAAGATTGAATGGGCATGATTTCAGTTTTGTCAGATATTGAAGGGCCAATTTTAAATTGTAAAGGTGCTTCATGAGCCTTGTCACACAGGCTATCCACTGGAGAGGTTCTGAAGGCTCCCA